CCGGCGGCGGCGGAGGGCGACGGTGGCGACGGGAGTGGGAGGGAGTGTCGCTGTCCGGCCGGATGACTGGTCGCTGTCAGCTGGGCAGGGGGGGAGGAGGAGAGGGATCTGATCTGGAGTGTGGACTGTGGAGTGTGGGTGGGGATGGGTGTGCCGCCGCACGGTGACGGTGGGTGGATCGCACACTGATTAGCTCGACGACACAATGAGAACAGCTGCCGGCCGGCAACTTTTCTTTTCCGGCCACGCAGATTAAGACGACAGCACACTCAGCATTCACATGGGACGCACGACGCACCTGGTCTATGCATTTCACTTGGACGATTGCGCCGCTGCGGGCCCCCTCGTGCTCGCCAACTACTTCCTCTGTCCGAAAATACTCATCGAAATGAACAAAACGGAATGTATCTGGAACTAAAATACATCTAGATACGTTTTTTTATTCATTTTGATGACAAGTATTTCTGGACGGAGGGAATACTATCACTCCTACTACTCCTAAACGAGACCGTGTCGCCCCTCCCCCGCGGACGACTCCGACGCTAACCCTAGCCGCCGTCGGGCGGGTTCGCGGTGTGCCCGTCGCGGTCGACATCCCCGGCACGGATCTACCGGGTTGCAGCTCCTCACCCAACAGTTCCAGCACTAGCGGTGACTGGTTTCAGCATCGATGGTAGCTGGTTCCAGCATCACGCGGTGGCCGATTCCATCACCAATAGCACGCGGTCGTAGATTTACCACTTCAACCTTTGTTTATACAAAATACTGAAATATTATTTCAAAATTGTTGACTGTTGTGGTCTTTTAAATGTGGACAACTTTTCCAAATATTTTAAATAAAAATGCCGGATTGGTACTTCAGAGCTATTGAGCCAGGTATTTTATACCATACGTGTATGTGTGTAAGTGTTTGCATTTATACAGTGTATAAAATGAAACAAAAATTAAATTATTATTTGCTGGGGTTACTGGCCCTTAATGGGCCGCGTGTAGGAGGTCCGCCGGGAGCCCATGAGAGAGAGGTTCCAGAAGCACCAATTCCTGTCAGAGTATAGGGCTAGCTTTAGCATTAGGCGCCGGCGCACCGGCCCAACTTTTGGCCCGGTCGCCCAGCAGCCACGTGATTTAGTACGCACGAGCCGCATGATTAGGCCCCTCGATTAGAAAAGTCCACACACGCAACTTGGTAAAAAATGACGACTCCGCTCCATCGCCCACCATGCTCACAACCCCTGCTCCTCCCCGCCTACTCCGTTATCCCCCGCGTACTTCTGCTGCATCTCCGGTCAACTCGTCGGTGACAGCCCAACAATCCCGCTGTCGCTTGGTTGTAGCAAAAAACACCCGTGGTTCCAGCAAAAAAAGGGCATGTTTCCAGCAAAAATTAAAAACATGGTTCCGCATTACACAAATTGCACCGAGTCAAAGCAACCAAAAAAATGATGGTTCCAGCAAAACAGAAGTATGATTCCAGCAAAAAAAATCATCTAGTTCCAGTAAAAAACAATGGTCGGATCGCAACAAAATTTTTGGCCGGTCCCAGCAAAACAAACACACGGTTCCAGCAAAAAAAAATGATTCCTCATCGCCGGTTGGAGCAAAGTTCTCGCTGGTGCCAGCAAAACAAGTCGCTGGTTCCAGCATCCGAGATTGCCGATTCCAACATCCCTTCCTGGTTGCAGCTTCTCACTCGACGGGCGCAACCCGAGCGTTGCCGGTCCACACCTGGTTGCATTTCCTCACCCAACGGTTCCAGCATTAGCGGTGACTGGTTCCAGCATCACGCGGTGGCCGGTTCCATCACCGATAGCACGCAGTCGCTCCCTGGTCACCCCGCGCGCCCAATGCCGACGCTGCTCGCAGCACCTCATGGTGCTCCTGGGAAGACATTGCGGCCACGGGTCGCCACTAGCAGCTTTTTATGTCCACACCGCCGCCCTTTCCACAAGGTCGCATCACCTCCGTCAGCTCCCCACCATAGCAACAGCCTGCGGC